AGAGAGAGAGAGAGAGAGAGAGAGAGAGAGAGAGCTGCTTCTTGTTTGAAACGAGCTCGTTGCAGAACTCGTTGCAAGCAAAGTAAACATTTCATTGATATTGGCAAAAATTGATAATGGTTTATTTTTAAAGAGGAAATCGAAATCGACCAAATGTACGTTTTTTTTTCGCGTATAATCGTCGTAAATTATAAGTTAGTTTCAACATTTCGTACTTGAGCTATTTACTTGAGTTATTTCAGCCAACTTCGGCCAAATGGAACTATCATAACTTAAAACTGCAGTTTTGGATATTGGGCCATTGCACCGGGTGCGATAAACTGCAGCAGAGTCGCAATACTCTTGGTGCAACCGGGAAGAAATACGAAATTCTTTTGGTCATTCCCAACGAGTTTTCTTCGCGGACTCGGACCATTCAGGCACACGTGCACGACTGATTGCATAACGCCAGGCGCAACGCACAATACTACCTCTCTTTCGTCATTCTTCTTTCTATCCTTTCCTCGTTTCTTTCATTTTTTTTTAAATTTTAACCAAATACAAGGTAGATTAAAGAAAAAAGAATTATTGAAATTTTCCAATACAATCATCGAATCGAAGGAACAACGACGAAATCTCACGAATAATTTTATTCAAGGGTCAAAATCGATCGCGAAATAAATTTGCCTCGATTCTAGTAAGTAAATATTAAACAGCTCGCGTTCCACCAGACAATCGGATTATCGGCCGATATTAAAACAATTACAACTCGAATACGATTTGTTGCGAAACGATCATTTAACATGGCTTTCGTCGTGGCAAATATAATGTTTCCGTATAATGAACACGTATCGAAACATGGCGGAATACAGGGCGTAATATCCGTGCAAAGCCGCGCGAAACGCGTTTAATGGACTGTCCGTCAAACCGGACGTCGCCGAGGCGATTACAACCGTGTTCAACGAACTACCGTGTTGGAAAATTTCGCGGTTGTGTAGTTGTCGCTGAAAGCACGTGAAACCGATCAGGTGGATTCGACGTACAAACGAATAGAAATAAACGTGTATATATATATATATATATGTGTGTGTGTATACACGTGGTACATATATCACGAGCGGTGATATACAAAATGGGAGTAAATATTGAAAGTCAAAACGATGGCCGGGGCTCGATTGATCGGATCGCTTTTCGAGAAGATTCGAGTGTGCAGAAGAGGATTTTTGTTTCGATTCGTTTCGAATTTTTCTCTTTTTTTTTTTTTTCCCCCATTTTTGTTTATAGAGGCTTTCGTTTCTATAGGGCTTTGCGGTGGTATCGCAACAGTACGTTTCGTATTGTTTGAAAAGTTAATGGACGATGTAATTTATTTGCGTTTTTTTATTTATTTATTTTTTTTTTTTTTTTGCTTGGTTATTTTTCTACGATATGAAGTAGTAATTTATTTATTAATGACGCAAGTTGACAAGGTAGTTTAGTATAGACAAGTTGTTAAAGTATATAATTAAACGTAATCAATATTTTTGCATTTATATATATATATATATGTATGTATTTTTTTTTTATACTTCATTTTATACTTTTACTTTTACCCACAACTATATTAAGCAATCTTTATTCGTGTAATAAAACTCGTATCTCTAATAAATGTCGCGCATTACACAACGATAAAATACGATAATTACGGACGGAACAGGTTTTCAATAACCCCGAACCGAACATTTTCACATTCCTTCGTATCTTTATCCCCCGATCGATCGCCAATTACCATTTATCTTCTATAATTCTTATTTCACACAAAACGGGGCATTTCTCTTCAATCGTGAATAAAAAAAAAAAAAAAATTCTCCTTCAGAGAGAGTATTTCGATTAAACAAAAAAATTATCTCTCCTTCCATGCATCTTCCTTCCATAAAAAAAAAAAAAAATTTTCTCATAAAAAAAAGGAGGATAATCCGTCAGAAGGAAGCGTAAGTGGCGCGACACGGTATTTATTTATCGTTTTCTCGCATAAATTCAGGCCGCGCATCTCGTCCCTTGAAATTTGCAATACGAATATCGCAACGGTCGCATTACGTCGTATAAATTTTCCAGGGGGAAAAAAAGCGATCCTTTGACGAGGCTCTCACTCGACGGTATTCGAATATTTTTTTTCCCCTCCCCTCCGCGTCTCTCTTCGTCCCACCCTTTGTAGCCAGATTATATCGCGTCGAAATATCCTCCACCAACCTCTCGGTGTATATATATATATGTATAATGCTCGAATCGTTTGCTCGATGTTTAACGCCGCGCGAATCGTATCGATTCCGCCCCATTTTTATCGACGCGCGTGTTCGTCGATCGAAATAATGGATTTACGAGCAACGAGATCGACGGACGTATGGGATTTTCACCGGAAAACACGGAAACGACGTGTTATCGTTATACACGATCGGGGATAAATCGAGGGAAGATGGTATAAATTTTCTGTTCAACCTTCATCGATTTCTCGTGTTTTTTTTTTTTTTTCATAGAAACTTTCGTTCGTGAAACTGATCAAAAATGTTACTTGGAACATATTACTTGGAATGTTACTTGGATCTTGAAGAATAATTTCGAAAGATTTTTCTTTCAATTATCCGTCATAAAATTCGAAAGAAAATAATTTTACAACAAATTTACAATACATATATATCTTTAATCTCATAAAACTCTTTCATCGTAAACTCTTCTCACTTCACCATTACCACCAGTAAAAATAATTCGAACGCGATATTATTATCAGAATCGAAATACCGATCTCCGATTTCCCTTCCTTCGAAGAAGAGACTCTTCGAATCAGACTCTTCGATCTCCCCCGTTTCGAAACCTCGTCCCTATTAATAGAGATGCAAATCGTCTCGCGGCATTTGCACAACCCTTCCTCCCTCCCCCCGTAAAACACAGGGAGGAAAATAAGCAAGGGGAGTGGGGGCGCGCAAATAGTGGAGATTCGGTTCATCGAATCTGTCCGCAACGCTTCCCTTCGATTAATAACTCGCCGCTCGAATCATTACCGGGCTATTTGGCACGAGTACACGGAAGGGAAAGGAGTGGGGGGGACGTTCCGCGGACCCAGTCATCTTTGCCGGGCTTGCTCGTGACGAGGGGTGAAACGCGCAACCCAAAGCGTCCTCCCCTCCTCCTCCTCCTCCTGCTCCTCCTCCTCCTCTCCCCGTGTACGCACGTAAATCAAGTTCTATTCACGAATTCCGATTGAAACCTCAATCAGACGTGATTCGCGCTAAAGGCAATGGGTTGGCTCTCGGATGGCTGACGGAGAGATAATAGAAAACACATGGGGAGAGGGGAGGGGGACGAGGACGGAGAGATGCCAACGGTGGATGCAAATTGCCGTGATTGACTGGATTCACGGAATCCAGTTCGATTCCCATACGGTGGCCGAGCCCCCATCGTTGTTAAACAAGCTTTGTAAATAAACGTGCATGCTCAAACTCTCGAGGAAAAATCTCGGATGGATTCTATTTTTGAGCGGGGGCGGGGGAGAAAGGGCGACGACGAAGACGAGAGGATACTTTTCTCGCTTTAGCTCGTGCAAGCTTTTGATCCAGTCGATCGAAAAGGAGACGAAAGATACCTTTTCTATTTATCTATTTTGTTCTTAATGTATTCTGTAAATGGTGATAATTAGATGATATCGGATGATCAGATTTGTTAATTCGAATTGGATTTGTTAGAAGAAATTAAAATTAAAATCTTTAGAAGAAATGGATCCAATTAACAATCCATCCATTAACCAATGGATCTATTGGTGTAAACATAAATTTAAGTATATTATATATAGTATTATTATAATATGTATTATTATGTATATATGTATTATATATATATATATATGTATTATGTACTATTATAATATGTATATTATAATAATATTAACCCTTTGCTCTCCAACGGTGACTCTCGATCACCATTTAAGTTAATGCCGTAACTCCAGCGGTCATTCTCCGGCACCATTTGGATTGATGCGGCAAATATTATTATAATATATTCTAGTAATTATATATTATAGTATATTATATATAATATAATATATTATATAATACATATATATATATTAATATTATATATATACATATATATATATATATATATATATATATATAATATTATAACATATATTATATAATATTATATAGTATAATAAANCCATTTGGATTGATGCGGCAAATATTATTATAATATATTTTGGTTCTTATAATATATTCTAGTAATTATATATTATAATATATTATATATAGTAT